GTCTCTGGCCAGCAGAGCCAACTGGTCTGGCGGTAGCGGGATTTGCTGCGCCACACAGATGGCGTTTCTCCAGCTGGAGCTGCTAGCGAACGCCTGAAGGGCGCCGGCTGGTTCTCTGCATCGCCATAGCAACAGGCCGGCCTGCTCCGCCTGTTGCTGCTCCACCAGGTGCTGGGCATAAGCACAGCTCAGAGCCTAGAGTTCAAAGGTCAAAGTTTAGGGGTCAAACAGGGGTTTATATATTGCTTAAAAGGTGCCTTCCAGAGTGTGTATCGTTGAGGTAGGACAACTGTGTGTTTCCTTCCTCATAAAACATTTGCACCAGTGTGTGTGTGTGTGTGTGTGTACCTTGTAGTGAGGACTGTCTGCGGTGTACAGTCGCAGAGCTTCACTGTAGAGTTTCTGCTCCTTCACGAGCTGCAGAGCTTCCAGGAAATGTTCCTCTCCTGAACACCAAGCACAGCAGACATTAGCTCACAGTCGCCTTGTATTAAAACAGCTCATCCAGACTCTGCAGTAGGTGTACGTGAAGCAAAATATCTGTGTTCCAAGTTGGTTTTTGTGATGAAATTAACTTTCTCATGTTAGCCAGGAATATTTTCTTTCATAAATCATGTATGCAGGGTAACTGTGATCCATTTGGCAGTAACCCTGAGGTACACAGATCCACTCTGTGAAAGCGGCAGTAGAGTGGGCGGAGCTGACAGAAACATTGACACTGACCACACTTGCTGAGGTGATGCAGGGCCTTCCTGTAGCGTTTCAGGTGCTTGTCGATGGTGTAGCGCTGGTAGTTTGGCTCCAGGCTCTTCAGCATGTTTAAGAAGGGAAGGTACTCTTTGGGGTCCTGCAGGGATTGTGGGTAAAAGTTAAACCATACACAATTTGTAGTTCATTCAAACTGATTACGTCTTTTTTCTCCTCATATGCTGCACATCTTTTACCATTTTAATGCTGCACTGATTCTATACACGCTTCTTTCAGGAGTAAACTTCATCCGTCAGTTTACATCACAGCTTTTACAGAAACGTTTCCTCCTGTCAGCGCTGATGATCTAATCAGATTTTGGAGCACCTGGTGCTGTAAGGTAACATATTAATGAGTAAATCTGTGTGATATCTGGCCTTGACTGTCTCTTGTTTTATTTTTACTCCTCCTTAGACTTAGACTTCTCTTTATTGATCCTTTTGGGACCTCCTGTGGGGTTTCGGTGCATAAATCTGCATATTAATGAGGACAAACTGTTTCCTTGATGCATTAAAATACTGAGGTCATTAATATCACAGGTGGCATGTGAATAGAAATGAGGGCTTCCTGCCTCATTAACATAACTGATTAGGTTTGATATGCAGTGCCACTTTGGGTTTATGTCTTAATTTGTGCTGTTAAGCAGTTTGAGTCAAGTAGTTTCTGTTGAGTCAAGTAAAACAAGACAATGAAGAGATTTCACTGCCATCTTGTACCTTCTGAGATTTCTCGGCCACCATGAGCACGAGATCAAAGTCGTACGTTCCCAGAGAGTGATCGTACAGGTCGTTCACGTTAACGAGGAAGAGGAGGTACTTCAACGCCTCTTCAGCGCTTACAGCACCGGGAGCTTCAGGAGGGTTCACTGGACAAATACACACACAGGACACAATGAGGACCTAAGAAATCATCTGCTACTGTGTGTGTGTGTGTGTGTGTGTGTGTGTGCGAGTGTGTGTGTGTGTGCGAGCGACAGAAAGAGAGAAGTCAGTCAGTGCTCTCACCTCGAAGCTCGTGGACTCTCTGCAGTGCGATCTCCAGCTCTGGAACCGTCTTCTTCACATGAGCCGTCAGTATGGGCAGAAAGAACCTGGACGGTTGACAACATGATCAGTTTATATCCCACTAACGCTCTGTCTACCGTTAAATTGCCAGCACATTTGTGGCCTAATCACTGCAGAGCTGTTTTTAAGTCTTTTAAACCAAGTCCAAGTCAAGTCTGAAGTCTTTGAGTCTTGTCTCAAATTTTGAGACGTGATTTGCAAAAAGTACGTTTGCCCATTTGTGCTTAGTATGGAATTTACAATGCAGGTGGTGTGAGGACAACATCTTGTCTAAAAATAATGAATACAATAGACAAATTTAAATATTTAAAAATAAATAAATAAATACAAATATTTTTTAACTTAAAGCAGGAACTAGCACATAAATAAATGATTTGTGCATCAGCAATAAGCTGGAGACGAGGGAAAACTACTCATTCATGTGTTTGGACTAAATCATTTCATAAGGAAAGAATAATTTGTCTCACCTGAACTTGGAGTTTTCTCTATTTTATGCTGGTGCCAGCAGCAGCAACTGTACGCAAGGTTATGGTTGCATGCCTTCTGGTTACATTATTAATCATTAATGACAGTTTGGCGGAGCTCCAAAACTATGCACAATACTGCCTTTGTCAATATTCATGGTTCATAATGTCAAGTCCCCTCAGCTTTTTTACCTTCAAGTCTCAAGTAAGTCAAGTCTCACAGCAGAGAGGTACATGTCTCAGGTCTCAAGTCTACACCTCTGATCATATTCCCTCCATAGACTCAGTACAGATTGTGTTTTCAGCTTTTTGGTTGTAGAATTATTTTCCAGAATTGATTAAAAGGGTTAGGGTTAGTTAGCCAGTGTTACTATGTTTACCAAGACTTCAACATTCTAAGCAAACATTTATGAAATAATTTCAGTATTACTGACCT